CTGGCCCATGACCCTGCGGGGGCTGCGCCACGTGCACGGCCAGCACCTCCTGCACAGGGTGAGACCCCAAAAACGGGCACGGGGACCCCGAAAATGGGCACAGGGACCCTGAAAATGGGCACAGGGATCCCAAAAATGGGCACAGGGATCCCAAAAATGGGCACGGGGATCCCAAAAATGGGCACGGGGACCCTGAAAATGGGCACGGGGACCCTGAAAATGGGCATGGGGACCCCAAAATGGGCACAGGGACCCTGAAAATGGGCATGGGGACCCCAAAATGGGCACGGGGACCCCAAAAATGGGCACGGGGACCCTGAAAATGGGGGGAGGGACCCCAAAAATGGGCACAGGGACCCTGAAAATGGGCATGGGGACCCCAAAATGGGCACAGGGACCCCGAAAATGGGGGGAGGGACCTTGAAAATGGGGGGAGGGACCCTAAAAATGGGCACAGGGACCCCAAAAATGGACACGGGGACCCCAAAAATGGACACAGGGCCCCCAAAAATGGGCACGGGGACCCCAAAAATGGGGGGAGGGACCCCAAAAATGGGCACAGGGACACCAAAAATGGGTACAAGGACCCTGAAAATGGGCATGGGGATCCCAAAATGGGCACAGGGACCCCAAAAATGGGCACAGGGACCCCAAAAATGGGCACAGGGACCCCAAAAATGGGGGGAGGGACCCCAAAAATGGGCACAGGGACCCCAAAAATGGGCACAGGGACCCCAGAAAATGGGGCAGGGACCCCAAAAATGGGCTCAGGGACCCACAAAAATGGGCACAGGGACCCCAAAAATGGGCACAGGGACTCCCAAAAATGGGGGGATGGACCCCGAAAATGGGCACAGGGACCCCAAAAATGGGCACAGGGACCCTGAAAATGGGGGGAGGGACCCCAAAACTGGGCATGGGGATCCCAAAAATGGGCACGGGGACCCTAAAAATGGACACGGGGACCCTGAAAATGGGCACAGGGACCCCAAAAAATGGGCCTTGAGGACCCCAAAAATTGGGGGAGGGACCCCAAAAACGGGCACAGGGACCCCAAAAATGGGGGGAGGACCCCAAAAATGGGCATGGGGACCCCAAAAATGGGGGGAGGGACCCCAAAAACAGGCATGGAGACCCCAGAACCGGGCACGGGGACCCCAAAAACATGGAGGAGCCCTAGAAATTCTGGGAACCCCCAGTCTGGGGGGGATCTGGGATGTCCTGGGGGGTCACCCCGACTCCTGTGGAGCCCCCCTGACCCCCTGGGGGTCCCCAATTTCTATTTTGTGGGGGTTTCAGGACCTCAAACCTGCCAACCTGCTCCTGGGCGGCGCCGGCGCCTCAAGCTGGCGGTTCGGGCTCCCAGGGTGCTGGGGACCCAGACGCCCCTACAGCCACGAAGTGGCCTGGGTACCTCATTTTGGGGGTCCCCCCTTTCCCGGGGGGGTCTGGGGGCTCCCCAGGCCATGGGACCCCCCCTGACCCCCCCATTTCAGGTGGTACCGGGCCCCGGAGCTGCTCTACGGGGCGCGCAGCTACGACGAGGGCGTCGACCTCTGGTGAGGCCCTCGCTTTTGGGGTCCCCCCTGGGGGTTTGGGGGGTCCTTTTGGGCATTTTGGGGTGCCCCCAGAACTTAGGGATCCCCTTCTTACTTTCTACAACCCCCCCAGACCTTGGGGTGTCCCCTGGATGGGGCCGATATTTGGGGTCCCCCAAAATATTTTAGGGTCTTTCTTTGTTTATCCCCAGATCCTTTCTCTGGGAATTTTGGGGGTTCACCCCAAATCTTGGGGTTCTTCCTTGCATTTTGGGGTCCTCCAAGAACTTGGGGACCCCCCCCTCACTCCCTAAAAACCACCCAGACCTTGGGGTGTCCCCTGGATGGTGCAGATATTTGGGGTTTTTCCCCAATATTTTGTGGGCTTTTTTTGTTCATCTCCATATCTTCCCGAGATTTTGGGGGTTCACCCCAAATCTTGGGGTCCTTCCTTGCATTTTGGGATCTCCCCAAAACTTATGGATTCCCCCTCACTCCCTACAAACCCCCCCAAACCTTGAGGTGTCCCCTGGATGGTGCAGATGTTTGGGGTCCCCCAAAATATTTTAGGGTCTTTCTTTGTTTATCCCCAGATCCTTTCTCTGGGAATTTTGGGGGTTCACCCCAAATCTTGGGGTCCTTCCTTGCATTTTGGGGTCTCCCCAAAACTTATGGATTCCCCCCTCACCCCCTACAGCCCCCCCAGACCTTGGGGTGTCCCCTGGACGGGGTCGATATTTGAGTTCCCCCCAGTTTTTTGGGGTCTTTCTTTGGTCATACCCAGGTTCCTCCCAAGGATTTGGGGGGGTGTTTGGGGTCTTCTCTTGCATTTTGGGGTCCCCCCTGAACTTGTGGATCCCCCCTCACCCTTTACAACCCCCCCAGACTTGGGGTGTCCCCTGGGTGGGGCCGATATTTGGGGTTTCTCCCCAATATTTTGGGGTTTTTCTCACATTCAGATTCCTTTTTTGGGGGGTTTTGGGGTTCCCCCCCAAATCTTGGGGTCCCCCTTCAGTCTCTGTCTATCCCCACTGGGTTTTGGGGGTCTGCCTTACCCCCTAGAGCCCCCCCCCCAAATTTTGGGGTGCTCTCCTTGGGCTTTGTGTAATTCTGGGTCTCCCCTGGAGGGTCTGCCCTGGATTTTGGGGGGGGTCTCTCTCGGAATTTGGGAGGTTCCTCTGGGACTTTTGAGGGTCCCTCTGGGATTTTGGGGAGTCACCCTGGAAGTTTAGGGGGTCCCCCTGTGATTTTAAGGGGGTCCCCCTGTGATTTTGAGGGGTCCCCCTGTGATTTTGGGGGGTTTCTCTATGATTTTGGGGGGGTCCCCCTGGGATTTTGGGGGGTCACTCTGTGATTTGGGGGAGGTTCTCTGGGATTTTGGGGTGTCATCTGCAATTTTAGGGGGTCCCCCTGTGATTTTGGGGGGGTCTCTCTGTGATTTTGGGAGGGTCCCCCTGTGATTTTGGGGGGTCACCCTGGAATTTTAGAGGGACCCCCTGTGATTTTGGGGGGGTCACTCTGGGATTTTGGGGTGTCACCTGGAATTTTAGGGGGTCCCCCTGTGATTTTAGGGGGTCCCCCTGTGATTTTGGGGGGGTCTCTCTGTGATTTTGGAGGGGTCTCTCTAGGATTTTGGGGGGTCTCTGTGATTTTGTGGAGTCCCCCTGTAATTTTGGGGGGGTTCTCTGGGATTTTGGGGGGGTCCCCTTGGATTTGGGGGGGTCTCTCCTGGATTTTGAGGGGGTCTCTCTGTGATTTTGGGGGGTCTCTCTGTGATTTTGAGGGTGTCCCCCTGAGATTTTGGGGGGTCACTCCAGGATCTTGGGGGAACCCCCCGGGATTTTGGGGCCCCCCCTGATGCTGGGGTGCCCCCCAGGGCCGTGGGGTGCATTTTTGGGGAGCTGCTGACCCTGTCCCCCCTTTTCCCGGGGGAGAACGACATCGAACAGCTCTGCTGTGTCCTGAGGGCACTGGGGACACCCAGCACCACGGACTGGCCGGTACTGGGGGCACTGGGAGGGACTGGGAGGGACTGGGGGGCACTGGGAGAGGGGATGGGGGCACTGGGGACATCCAGCACCAAGGACTGGCCGGTACTGGGGGCACTGGGAGGGACTGGGAGGGACTGGGGACACCCAGCACCACGGACTGGCCGGTACTGGGGGCACTGGGAGGGACTGGGAGAGGGCATGGGGGCACTGGGGACACCTAGCACAGGACTGGCCGGTACTGGGGGCACTGGGAGGGACTGGGGGACACTGGGAGGGACTGGGGGGCACTGGGGACACCCAGCACTGCAGACTGGCCGGTACTGGGGGCACTGGGAGGGACTGGGAGAGGGGATGGGGGCACTGGGGACACCCAGCACTGCGGACTGGCCGGTACTGGGGGCACTGGGAGGGACTGGGGGGCACTGGGAGGGACTGGGGGGCACTGGGGACACCTGGCACTGCGGACTGCGGCAGGTACTGGGAGGCACTGGGAGGGACTGGGGGGCACTGGGAGGGACTGGGAGCAGTGGGAAGGACTGGGAGGGACTGGGAGAGGGAATGGGGCACTGGGAGCGGTGGGAGGCACTGGGCGCCACTGGGAGGGACTGGGAGCACTGAGAGCACTGGGAGGGACTGGGAAAGGGACTGAGGGCTCTGGGAGGAACTGGGAGAGGGACTGGGGACACTGGGAGGGACTGGGAGCACTGAGAGCACTGGGAGGGACTGGTCTGTGCTGGTCTATACTGGGTTTATGCTGAATTATCCTGGTCCGTACTGGTCTGTACTGGTCCGTACTGGTCCATACTGGTCCGTACTGGTCTGTACTGTTCCGTACTGGTCCGTACTGGTCCATACTGGTCTGTACTGGTCCATACTGGTCCATACTAGTCCATACTGATCCGTACTGGTCCATACTGGTCCGTATTGGTCCATACTGGTCCGTACTAGTCCATACTGGTCCGTACTGGTCTGTACTGGTCCATACTGGTCTGTACTGGTCCGTACTGGTCCATACTGGTCCATACTGGTCTGTACTGGTCCATACTGGTCCGTACTGGTCCGTACTGGTCCGTACTGATCCGTACTGGTTCATACTGGTCTGTACTGGTCCATACTGGTCCATACTGGTCCGTACTGGTCCATACTGGTCCGTACTGGTCCGTACTGGTCCATACTGGTCCGTACTGGTCCATACTGGTCCGTACTGGTCCGTACTGGTCCATACTGGTCCATACTGGTCCGTACTGGTCCATACTGGTCCGTACTGGTCCGTACTGGTCCGTACTGGTCCGTACTGGTGCCCTGTGTGGCAGGAACTGGCCCACCTGCCCGACTACCCCAAGCTGCGGTTCCGCCCGCGGGCTGCGGCGCCGCTGGAGCTGCTGGTGCCGGGGGCTGAGCCCGCTGCCCTCGACCTGCTGGGGGCGCTGCTGCGGTCCCCCCCCCGCCTGCGGCCACGGGCACACCAGGTGGGATTTGGGGGGGGTTGGGGGTCCTGGGAGGGGTTTGGGGGGTCCCAGGATGGGCCCCATTGTGACTCTGGTTCAGCTACCCCGCCTGCGGCCACGGGCACACCAGGTGGGCTTAGGGGGGTCCCAGGGGGTTTGGGGGTCCCAAGGGGGCTTAGGGGGGTTTGGGGGTCCCAGGGGGTTTGGGGGTCCCAGGATGGACCCCATTGTGACTCTTGCTCAGCTACCTCGCCCACCTGCGGCCCAGGCACACCAGGTGGGATTTGGGGGTCCCAGGGGGTTTGGGGGTCCCTGGGGGATTTTGGGGTCCCAGGATGGGCCCCACTGTTCCCCTGGCTCAGCTACCCCCTGCTTGAGCCCCCAGGCACACCAGGTGGGCTTTGGGGGAGAGATTGGGGGGTTTAGGGGTCCCAAGGGGGCTTTGGGAGGTCCCAAGGGGGCTTAGGGGGTTGGGGGTCCCAGGGGGGGTTGGGGGTCCCAGGGCCAGCCCCACTGTTCCCCTGGCTCAGCTACCCTACCCGCCTGCAGCCCCGGGCACACCAGGTGGGCTTTGGGGGGTCCCAGGGGTTTGGGGTCCCAAGGGGGCTTTGGGGGCTTGGGGGACAGTTGAGGGGTCCCAAGGGGGTTGGGGGTCCCAGGGTCAGCCCCACTGTTCCCCTGGCTCAGCTACCCTGCCCGCCTGCGGCTCCGGGCACACCAGGTGGGCTTTGGGGGTCCCAGGGGGGTTTAGGGGTCCCAGGGGAGTTTGGGGGTCCCAGGATGGGCCCCATTGTGACTGGTTCAGCTACCGCCGCCTGCGGCCACGGGCACACCAGGTGGGCTTTGGGGGGGTTGGGGAGGGTTAGGGGTCCCAGGGGGAGTTTGGGGGTTCTGGGAGGGGTTTGGGGGGTCCCAGGGGGAATTTGGGAGGTCCCAAGGGTTTGGGGGTCCCGGGATCAGCCCCACCATGGCCCTGGCTCAGCTACCCCGCCTGCCTGCAGCCCTGGGCACACCAGGTGAGACCCCGGGGGTTTGGGGGTCCTGGGAGGAGTTTGGGGGTCCCAAGGGGGTTTGAGGGTCCCAGGATCAGCCCCACTGTTCCCCTGGCTCAGCTACCCCGCCGCCTGCAGCCCCGGGCACACCAGGTGGGCTTTGGGGAGGTCCCAGGGGTGGTTTGGGGGGTTCCAGGGGATTTGGGGGTCCCTGGGGGTTTAGAGGGTCCCAGGGTGGTTTGGGGTTCCAGGGTGGGCCCACTGTTCCTCTGGCTCAGCTACCCTGCCCACCTGAGCCCCCAGGCACACCAGGTGGGCTTGGGGGAGGGGGTTGGGGGCTTGGGGGTCCCAAGGGGCTTAGGGGGTCCCAAGGGGGCTTAGGGGGTTTGGGGGTCCCAAGGGGGTTTGGGGGTCCCAGGGTCAGCCCCACTGTTCCCCTGGCTCAGCTACCCCGCCTGCGGCCCGGGCACACCAGGTGGGCTTTGGGGGTCCCAGGGGAGTTTGGGGGGTTCTGGGAGGGGTTTAGGGGTCCCAGGGGAGTTTGGGGGTTCTGGGAGGGGTTTAGGGGGTCCCAGGGGAGTTTGGGGGTTCTGGGAGGGGGTTTAGGGGTCCCAGGAGAGGTTTGGGGGTCCCAGGGGGGGTTTGGGGTCCCAGGGTCAGCCTCACCATGGCCCTGGCTCAGGTTCCCAGCCTGCAGGCCCGGGCACACCAGGTGGGCTTTGGGGGGTTGGGGGGTCCTGGAGGGCTTGGGGGTCCCAGGGAGGGTTTAGGGGGTCCCAGGGGGTTTCGGGGAGTCTCAAGGGGGATTTGGGGGGTCCAGGGACGGTTTGAGGGGTTCCCAAGGGGAATTTGGGGGTCCCAGGATCAGCCCCACTGTGGGCCTGGCTCAGGTACCAGATGAGGCTCCACCCCCACCAGGTGAGACCCCAGGGGGCTTCAGGGGGTCCTGGGGTGGTCTGGGGAGTCCCAGGTAGGTTTAGGGGGTCTTCAAGGAGGTTTGGGGGATCCTCAGGGGGCTTTGGGGGTCCCTGGGGGGAAGGTTGGGGGTCCCAGGGGATTGGGGGGTCCCAGGGGATTTGGGGGTCCCTGGGGGGTTTGAGGGGTCCCTGGGGGTTGAGGGGTCCCAGGGGATTTGGGGGTCCCTGGGGGTTTAGGGGTCCCAGGGGGATTTGGGGGTCCCAGGATCATCCCCTCTGTGGGCCTTGCTCAGGTACCAGGTGAGACCCCTGGGGAGGGGTCTGGGGGTCCTGGGGGAGTTTTGAGGGGTCCTGGGGGTCCTCAGGATTTGGGGGGTCAGGGGGAGTCCTGGGGTTGCTGAGCCCCCTGACCCCCTCCCTCCCCAGGCCCTGCTGCACCCTTCTCTCTTCGGCCCCCACCAACTGACCCCACCCCCACCCCGGGGCCCGGACCACCCCGACTTCAGCCTGGACACCCCTGGAGCTGCCCCCACGGGGGCCCTGGGACCCCTCCCCACATGGGGGACCCCAGTGACCCCCGAGCAGGAGACCCCTCTGACCCCCACGGGGGCTCTGGGACCCCTCCCCACGTGGGGACCCCAGTGACCCCTCCGAGCAGGGAGACCCCACTGACCCCCGAGCAGGGGGCCCCCACTGACCCCAGGGGCCCTGGGACCCCTCCCCACGTGGGGACCCACAGTGACCCCCGAGCAGGAGACCCCCAGTGAGCCCCCTGGAGGCCCTGGGACCCTCCCCACCCACAGTGACCCCCGAGCAGGGAGACCCCTCTGACCCCTGGGAGCCCTGGGACCCCTCCCACCCACAGTGACCCCCAAGCAGGAGACCCCACTGAGCCCCGAGCAGGAGACCCCCACCCACCCTGAGAGACCTCCACTGACCTCCCTGGGGAGCTCTGGGACCCCTCCCCACGTGGGGGACCCACAGTGACTCCCCGAGCGGGGAGACCCCCACTGACCCCCGAGCAGGAGGCCCCACTGAGCCCCCTGAGTAGGGGGCCCCTACTGACCCCCAAACTGGGGGCCCCATCCAGTCTGGGAGACCCCCACTGACCTCCCAGGGGGCTCTGGGACCCCTCCCCATGTGGGGATCTCACAGTGACCCCCAGCCAGAAGACCCCCACTGACCCCCCCACCCAATCTGGGGAACCCCAGTGACCCCTCCCGGGAGCTCTGGGACCCCCCATGTGGGGCACCCCAGTGACCCCCAGCCAGAGAGATCCCCACTGACCCCAGAAGTGATTTGGGACCCCAACCAGGGAGACCCCCACTGGCCCCCTCACCCAATCTGGGAGACCCCCACTGACCCCTCCTGGGGGCTCTGAGACCCCTCCCCATGTGGAGAGACCCCAGTGACCCCCTCCAGCCAGAGAGACCCCCACTGACCCCGAAGAATTTGAGACTTCCCACCCAGGGGAACCCGCAGTGACCCCCTGGAGGGTTTCTGAGCCCCCTCCCCATGTAGGGGACCCCATTAATCCCCCTGGGTGCCCAGGACCCCCCAGTCAGAGACCCCATTGGCCCCCAGGGCCCCTGGGACCCCTCCCCACTGACCCTCCTGGGGGCACAGGATCCCAACCTGGGGACCCCAGTGAGCCTGGGGGTTTCTGAGACCCCCAGCCTGGGGGACCCCCATTAATCCCCTTGGGGGCCCAGAGACCCCTCCCACGTGGGGACCCCAGTGACCCCCAGGGGGCCTCAGGAGCCCCTAAATTTGGGGGTCCCCGGACACCCCTCGACCCCCGAGGACCGAAACAGCGTCAGAAACAGCAAAAATGGGGAAATTTCACATTTCCAACCCAAAAACGGTGAATTTGGGGCCGAAAACGACGAATTTGGGGCTCAAAACATCAAATTTTGGGCCGAAAACGTCAAATTTGGGGCCGGAAAGGTGGAATTTGGGACTGGAAACGCAACGAGATGACGGAAAATCGACGGACGGGACCCAAAACCAGCGAATTTGAACCCAAATCTCGGGTGAGTTCGGCAGTTTGGGGGTTAAAAAAAAGCTGATTTTGGGGGTGGGAAAGGTGGGAGCGAAAATCTGACATTTTGAGGTGAACATTTCGGAGTTTTTGGGGAAGAATCTTGAATTTTCAGCCAAAAATTTATGATTTTAGATTGGAAATGCTTAATTTTTTTTGTAATGAGATGAATTTTTTTAATTAAAACTCAGGATTTTTGGTTAAAATTCTGAATTTTGTCTTAAAAGCTCAAGTTTTATCTTAAAAATGTGTGATTTAGAGCTGAAAAATCCCATTTTGGGGCTGAAAACACCAAATTTCGGGTGAAAAGACCAACTCTGGTGCCCAAAACGTG